TTCATAACTCATACTTCTGATATCACTGTTATTCATTAATCGAATCTCTCCTAATCCATTTATTAGAAAAAAATTGGTACAGGTAATTTCGCACAATTCTGTAAAAATGGAAAGGAATGCCGTCCTGGTGGAACCATAAATTTTGACGGATTTCCAAATTAATATTTTCGAGGAGTATCGGTACGAAGAAAATTTAGATATAAATTTCACACACTGTTTCTTTTTGAAATCTTTATGCAATAAATGACCTCAGTTTTTTGTCAACTTAGAAATAATCCCTATACTTCTTCCTCTGGTGCATTATAAAATACAACTGAAATTCATATTCTAGTTGATCAAAACTTTGAGCCACCCAGAAATTCGATTTGTTACTATTATCATTGTTAAATGCCAATTCCAAAGAAGCCAGAGCGAAACAGAGATCGACAATGAAAATAACTCATTACTATAATTCCATAAACCTGTGTTTCAACAATCATTTACATGTTTGAGCAATAACAGTTTTACTTCTCATTTATTCATTATTATTGTTGCTACTAAATATTTTACTGATGTTTTCAAAAAATCTTTGCTAACCTTTATTCTTCCACCTCTGACTAATTCAAAAGAAGAAAAATTAGTCAAAGATTATTTCAACATAACTTCCATCGCCCTTAAAGTAGGTATAAAACACCAAACCCAGCTGTTTCGAAAAATTAAAAGATTTGATTTTGGTCTGTGAAGCAGAAACTCTACCACTGAGCCGCATCTGCTATCACAGTGTTTCGTACCATATTCGTAAAGCATAAAGCGGTGCAAACAATAAAAAAATATGGTAATAATAAACAAAATCGTCATTAAATTGTTGTTCGAGACGATTATCCAAATTTTGGTTAGCATTTTCTCTACACGATATTCCTAATACACATAAAATTTGTCAACAATCAAATCGAAGATATCTGTGTAATAAAAATTCGCATAGACAGCAGACAGACAGACGGACGCGGGAGGCCTATTTCTTTTTACTCTAGGGATCATGAAAGGTCGAGAAAACGTTAAAGTAGGCAGTCGCTTCCGCTCGGGAAGTAAAAACATTCTTCGATTTAGGTTTGATGCTGGCGATAAACTTTTGGAGGAGTGTATAAGTATACATATGTATTAGTTGTAAAATTCAAAATCACATCATTGAAGTTTGTAACGAGATAATTATCACTTAAATAGTCCAAAAACTTAATACTAAATTCTTTGTTTTAGTAGGTCTAGCTGTGGGATGTGAAACATACTAACATGTTTAACACAGAACAGTTATTTATATAGTTTATTTATTAGCAGATTCCGAATTTGAAAAGACTTTTACCAAACACACTTCTAACGATTTGTTGAAAGTTTCAGAATTTAATTCCTTGTGTAGAAAAGTATACAAAAAATTGTTCTCATGTTTAAATCTACATTCCTTTTACTCTTCATATGGAACATAAAACAAAATCAGTACAAATTCTTCCTTATCAGCAATAAATATATGTACAGAATATTTCCTAATGAGTTAATGACATTTTTTCAGAACTTTAAAAAAATATGTAAAATTTTTTGAGGCTTCCTTCAACAAATTTTAATAAAATAGTACGTACAGCTGGTTTCACAAAAAACGGGACAAATGACAGTGACATGAACGTCATATTCCCAGGGCTTTTCAATGATCTATGAGAATCTGATTTGCTCCCGTTTTTTGTGAAACCAGCTGTATGTAGGTATGTACTATACCTGACAAAAGATTTCAGACCACAAGCTTCTGTTATTTTAACAAACATCATTGTAAATCACCCCTTACTGTCATTCTGATTGACACTGAAAATAAATTTGAAATTTTGGCGCTTTAAATTTATTTTGTCAACAATAATGCCAGCAATGTCGCATTTTGATAAGGGCAAAATTGTAACTTTTCGCCAAAGTTATATAGTTCAAAGGATACCATATACTCAGTTCTAAAAACAAATCTAAAGCAAAAAGTAAATTTAGCTGTTCATAAAGCCAAATTTACACTTTAATGTAATTTGAAGTCGTTTGAAATTTTTTATCGGGCTTGGTACTAATCAAATTAGAATAAAGGGTTGGGTGTAACTAGTGATATTTCTGTTACACTTGAAAAACTGTTGGACAAATTAAGTTCTCAAAAAAAAAAAACTGGAACTGAATTTCATACTTGAATGATCGATTATCTTAGTTTAGTTATTTTAGAAATACATTGTTTACAATATGAACATTAACATGAGTTATAGTTCTGTAATTAATATATTTTTTATTAGTTCACTAGTTTTTGTGATTATTAGAAAGCAACTAAATGACGTAAATAGTAAATATACATTTTCAGTCAAATTTGTTGCATTTACTTTCATTAACAAAATAATCAACTTTTTAATTTGATGTAAAAATTTTGTAAAGAAACACTCAGTTACTGCTGGAAATGAAATAAAAATACCAGAGGAGATTCAAGACATTTTAGTTATTCAAAGATGAGTTTTAAATTTTAAATCGCTATACGCGAACTAAATGACCGTTGGGGGCGCCACTGTTAACTGCAACATGGCCGCTCTAAGGCATATTTGACGTATCCTTTATGGCAAGTCTTAAGTGTCCATCGTGTGAAAAAAGTGTGTTGTGTTAATAAATCGAGCGTTTTTGTAGTGGATTTGTTCAGTTTACAGCCTGTTTCGTTGTTTGTGTCAGTTTTTTTTGTAGTTCTCATGTTATTAACCCTTTGTTTAACTTTTTAAGTGAACACATGCTAAATCATGTGGTGTTAAAACTTCTGTGAAAACTTTATTAATTATAGTGATTATTGTTTTTTAAATTAAGTGTTCATTTCATACTATGTATGAGTGGAATAATGCATAATAATAAAATAATAAAGCATGAATAATATTTCAGGTTATTGCTGTCACCGTTTTAAACAAAACTGCTAAAACAGCATAAGAAAATGTATTTTTCAGTTTCATAAAAGTTAACAGAACACGTTCTTTCAAGTTTAATTTATGTTTATTACAGAATTTTCCAAACATCTCACAATTTGCAACAATAGCATTAAATAACAGAAAGGATGGTATTCCAGCCATTGTATTTAAATCATTATCAGATTTAAGTGTACTTATAAAAGGTGCCACTAAATCTCCACTTGTCACTTGAATATTTTTATCCTTTTTTTGTGAATTTTGTAAATGTAACAAAGCCTGCACGGTTTCCATTTCTAATGCTAGAAAATAATCTGTATTTTTTAAATATCATCAAATGTATACATACTTGAAACAGTTTTTTGATGTAACTGACTGCTGTCGAAGCAATTTACATCAGTACTATCTGTACTTGAAATTATGTAACCTTCAGATTTTCTCATTGTTGTACTTCTGACTGCTTTAAAGTCTCGATTTTTGGGCCTTCTAGGTAGTAATTCTTTAGTAATGATACTTACATCTACAATATTTCATTTATTGTCTATTATACATTAACAACATTTACCCAAATCTGTACTTACCACGTAATATTTTTATTTATTTTATCCTATGATGTCTCTAACAAGCTGGAGGCCCAATTACAGGAAACATGACATACACAACACCCAAAAGGCAAGGCGGGAATCGAACCCACGACCCAAGGTGTAGTGGGCAAGCACGAAGCTAACTAACCCACCTGGGTCCTCAAATCAAATCCTCAATATGAAATCATCCTGATTACAATGTAGTGAACACACTTTCATGTGCTTTGTTGCTGGTTTTCCCATATTTAGCTTTACCATCCAAGTCTTATATCTGTCCATTTTTTTCCCTGATTCCTAACCTAAAAATATAATATATATATACATATTATACTGATAATCAAAAACAATTTAGTTAAATACTGATTAAACTAAATTTACTGTTGATATGAATACTTACCTGTTCATAACATTTAAACAAATGACTTGTTTTTTATGGGGAATTTATGAAAAGAGAGCCCACTGTTTCTATTGTTTTTGCTATGGCAGCGAAAAACACAACAATTTGTATTGTTAACAGTCATTTTTTCAGGAATACTGGGACCAACTTATTTAATTTTGTTGGTTTAACATAAAACAACGAAATTTCACTGTACAACCAACAGTATTTTCATCTTTCACTATGCTCCTGAGTAGTGCACATTTTTGACACCAGGTGTCGTATCAGATCATTTAGATCGCGTATAAGCATGAGAAATGCTTTAACACTGCGCGCCATCTATGCTTTCTCTCCCCAACTAATGTTTACTTGGTTGCAGACGTATTCAAGCCCAGCACGATCATTTGGATAAGGAATATCGTGAACATGCGCTAGGAGCTTTGCTGTCAGCCAATACCAGAGGATTGGGAAAGGTAGGTTAAATGTAAACAAATACAAGATTTAGCGCTCAATATTTTTTTAAATTGAAACGTTTCAATAAATTTGACATTGTTTACATTATAAAAATGTCTATACGGGTGATAGAACTCACTGTATATTTACCTTTGGACCATTGTTTTATTATTGTAGCAGCATAAATTTACTTTTAGTCCAGTTTATACAAAATTCGGGTTTTTCTCGTTAAAAACTTGAATGTAAAGCTATTAAATGAAGAAAGGATAGTTTGCAACAAAAGGATGTCGTTTATAAAGCATAACAGGATAAGTCAGACACTATCGAAAACCGGCGATGGTCTACCCTTTGTATCATTTATGTAACTTATTGTGTTGGATAAATTGTATAGTTGGGGCGACGAGGGGTAGCTAACAATGAAATAATTCGGAAGGTGTCACTGAACCTTAATCAGGACTATAACCGAAACTATCGGTATTATTACACATAATTAAATGATTGATTACCGCGTGGTAATTGAATCTGGAGCCGCCCCCACCTGTTTACAGCCACAATACAATGAGCTAACCTGTTCATCCCCCTGATAAGCTTATCGAACGCGACGCTTTGCGCCGCCAAGCGTCGTCTTATCCAACTTTGCTCCGTAAGGGAGTCAACCCCAACATTGCAACGTGTTTGTTAGTGTGGTAATACTGACGTGAAATTTTATTTACTAAATAAATTTGCATTGCCCTCCATTTAAACCCAATGTTTTCGTACCAACGAAGTGCTGTTATCAAGTGTCTAAGACGATTTTCACGATAAAATAATGCCTGTACGAAGTAGGTTACGATTAATATTGTCGAGTGTTTTGAAATGTGCAAACACCTAAGTATTTAAAATGCAAGAGTGCAGTAAGCCTGAGAAGCCTAAAATAATTGGACCTAAACCGACAGTTCCTTCGAAACCCAAAAACGTTCCGCCTGTGAATGTCAGGGCCCAGAGAGTTGTTAAAGAAAATGAAAGGTGTTTGGTTACCGATTCTTCACGAAGATCAGCGGTTCCAGAGCATAAACCGAAGGAATTATTATCTAAGGAAGTGTCGCGTTCGCTTTCACAAACGGAAAAAAAGGACTACAAAGAGGTTTTCTCAACCAAAACTTCCGAAAGTTTGCATTATAAAAACATAGGTGTCGAAACTAACGTTAAATACGATGAATATTCGGCCACTTACGTTAGCGAAAAATGTGATAAATATAGTACTAGCTATGAGACTTATAAAAAAATTGAAGAAGCAACTCCGAAAGCCCCGAATTCCCCCAGCACGGTTTGCTGTAGTATTTTATCAAACGCCACGACAGACTGTTGCGGGATAATCAACGTAAACAAAAAAGAACTGAACGGGAAAGCCATGACTAAAATAGACTCTTTAGATTCAAATTCCTCGGACTCAGGTGGCTTCAAGGATTTCATCCAATTAGATTTAATCAAGAAGCCTGCAGAAACCGAACCCCCGAACGCGTCCCACCAGAGGAAAGCCTCTCAACCCGAATTTCTCTCCGAAAAAATCGCAGAAACTAAAAACTTTGGCCACCAAAGAAAATCATCACAACCGGATTATCTGTCACAAGAAGTGCGACAATCATTCACACAAAATAAGCAGAATTTTGTAGCCAACGCACAAGCTTTAGCACAATTCTTGCCACAGACTGAACAAAAAATACTGCAGCATAAACCATACGCAACCGACCGGCCTGAAGAGACTTTCAGACAGCAAATTGCTAAATTTAACGCCACTCAAAAGACTGATGAAGTTAAAACGAAACCGAAACCCCAAATCATATCACAAAGTCAATTCCAGCAATCAACGAAGAAGTTGGAGGAATTGTTGTCGCAGAGATTGGAAAAGGAAAAAGTGATGAGGAAAGGCCAGAACTGTCTTCTAGATGGGGAATGCAGCCAAGACGTTGAGCAGAAAATGATGGTACAAAAACAAATGCAGCAGAAGTTACAAGCCGATCTCCAGCAGACGGTCAAGCAGATCCAAGAGATACAAAGCATTGAATTGAGACTACCACAAAACCGGAAATGGAGCGAGGTTTGTTCCTCTTAATTAATGTGTCCGTAAAACTCGCGTTTTCACCTCGTAAAGACGTTTGTGGGCGCACTGTCAAAAGGACAGTTGTGAGACAACTATTAAAATCTTGAGCTTGGCGCTCAGTGTCGAGTTGTATAACAGTGAACCGAAATCGTTGCCTTAATTAAGTAGCATACGCGGTTTCGGTTATATAACCACGAATTCACACTATAACCCCGTTTTATTCGTCACACATACATAAATATTAGAAATTTGTTAATTATATAATATCGGTCGATGGTATTTTATGAAAGTTTTATTTTTAATTATGTCTAGAAAAGTAGCGGAAAAAGAAAGAAAAAAGGCTATTTATAAATAGGAAGAACAAAATTAATGCTATTAAATTAATATTGCTAACAGATTTGTGTTTAAGTTTTGAAACATCTTTTGTTTATTGGTTGTTATAAACAGTTAAGTAAGTTATGTGTGACTTGTTTGTTTTATGAGTTTATATTTCTGACATATAAAAAGAAGTGCTAATTTTATTTGAAAGTAAACATTCCTATTTTAGAACGGCACGAACACTTTCAGCAAATTCATGCATCTAGGAACAGCGACGATTTCAAAATGAATTTTACTTTATACAGGGCCGGCTCTAAGGGACCAGGCGCCCCGATGCAACTTACTGTTCAACGCCCTCTAAAAAATTTTTGTAAAAAAAAACAAATAAAATTTTGTGATCACATATTTTTTAGAGCGATATTTTTATTAACAAACATACATAAAATTATGATGAATCAATCTTAATATATACAGTATGTCCCCGGTATGAGTTCACAAGAGGAAAAAAAACTGTATTTTCTATTTTACAAAAAAATGACATAGGAATAACATATTTTGCTTAATTCAAAACGAATAAATCTGCAATTAAAACTTCAATATTCTTGGTCTGTACTTTTAAAATTATTTTTTTCATATTTCTAAGTTCTTCGTTACTTTTAGTTTTTTTTTAAGGACACAACCTGATAATATTGCAGATTTATTCGTTTTGAATTAAGCTAAAAATGTTATTCCTCTGTTATTTTTTTGTAAAATAGAAAATACAGTGTTTTTTCCTCTTGTGAACTCAATCCGGGGACATACTGTATATAAAAGTATTTGTCCTGACTGACAGATTGACTGAATTATCAACGCAAAGCCTAAACTACTGAAGCTACAAACATGAAATTTGGACAGTAGGTACATTTTGTGTTATAAGCACTCATTAAGAAAGGATTTTTTGGAATTCCGCCCCTACCGGGGACAAAAATTTGTGAGTTTTTAAGTTAGACGGCTTCATTAAGGAGGGGGGAATCAATTTTTAATATTGTAAAACTGAAACGATTTCAAGGTTATTTTTAATTTAGACTTACCTCAATGTTATTCCAAATTTAAATTTAAAATTAATGATGACAAAGAGCGACAAAATGATACAACAAAACCAAATTCGGTTACAAACAGGAACAGTGAAAAATATAACAAAACTGTTGAACAATCAGCACAACCAACCGACTAGACTTGGAAAATAAAATTTTTAAGTATGTGCCGACATGGAGTTTTATGGTAAAAACAAACGTGACAAATGTTAGGAAAAACATCTGGTTTTGGTCATACCGCTGTCTCGTCAAATTGTTACCCAGATAATGCAATCATAAATCTGGTATTTTTTCTCAGTATTGATCTAAAGGTCCAATCACCCAACCCAAAGGTGCACTGTTTTTCAATTATTACAGTCAGAAAGTGACTTCTTATGATCTGTTTTTGTGAACCACTCCCCATAGTGGGATATTAAACTGTAGCTTTTTCTGAAAAGTTTTCGATGGGCGCCTTGGTCTGTTCCTGCTATAATATTTTGTACGTAGTGATTCAATGTTTACTTTTATAGAGTTAATATAAAAGCTTAGGCTGTGCCAGCCGCCCGGCGCCCCTTGCCATGGGCGCCCCGATGCGGTGCATCTTTCGCTTACCGTGTTAAGCCGGCCCTGACTTTATATGAAGATCAGTTAAAGGGAAAATAATTTTTGGAACGAGTTCGACCATTTACCACTTCAGTACTTCACAATATATTTTTTAGTGCTATCGATGTACTGATTGTTGAATAAGTAATAAGAACTGAACTAATATTAATTTATAATAATATTTTCATAATATATAGGTTGTGTACAGTAATGTTTTAATACGTAACGATAACTCTGCTTGGAGAAGAGAAATTTAAGCCAGTAGCCTTCAATTTTGTTTTTAGTTACTGTTGCTGTAAACGTATTCTCCCCTGCTAGTATTTTTATCACTAATCTAATAAACGTACGATAAATTTTTATAAGCTTTTTTCAAAGCACACTGGAAATATCCTTAAATTACGTTTTAATGATGCCGACGAAATGTAGGAATGTTTTCAAGATCATAAAATATTCGTGTAGCTTTAATAAAGTCGCTTTACCGTAATTAATTAGAACTGTGTATATTTTTAATTTTCTTTTTAGCAGCTACGCATTTGACGAAGTACTTCCAGATAACTTCATTTGAAATACGTCCGTATTTAAAAAAACCTTTTAAAACGTCGGAATGAATATGTGATCGCATCTCTCGCAGATACATATCTTAATTAAACAAATTGAAACAATGTTATCACACAATCTGCAAATGTATGTATTATGCAACAATAAACCGTTATAAAATGCATAATTTGTTTTTGAACCAGATGAAACAAAGAAAATATGGAAATTCATATTTATGCATAAAAAATGTATGGCACTGTTACAAAGTTCTGCATTTCCAATTAAAATAAAATCACTTTTTAATGCGATATTAATCGTTTATTTATGAAGTTGCGCCGAAGGTTTTGTGTTGCACTTCAGATTAAAACAGCAAAACAATTGAAACAAAATGCTAAATAAAACACAAGCTATAGCAGCGTGGTGGAAATAAAGTCGTGGGAGTGATAGCTCGGGGAAGTACTTTAAAAAATATCTGATTCCATATTTTCTTGACATCCACTCCGGTCTGATATAGGTATGATTTTATTAATAAGTTAATCTGAAGAAAACTGAATCATTTTTTTTAAAGAGTACCTCACGAACGACTCTTTTATTTTAAATATATAGTACCTAACATTTTAAAGTCAAAGAAGAAACACCATATTTTTTTTTATTGAAGTATTTTTATAGAAGTTAGGTTAGCTCTATATAAAATAAATCGCTTTATACATTGACGTTTTTGAGACATCATGTGCTGCAAGGTCTAAAAATAAGCACATTATTGAAGCATCTCCAGACGTATAAAAATGTGTGTAAAACTTGTTCTGTAAAAGGAAAACCATATATAGTGCCTCGGGTAAAGTACACAAAACTCTATAAACCAGCAGCTACAAACTTACTATTTTTAAAATAATTCCGAAAGGTTAAAATAATTCGTAGCATTCGACATTTAGAGATTCCTCGTTCATACTATTTCCGGTCTACAGACAGTTCAAAATAAGAAACATGAATTTTCGTATTTTACAAACTGTGAAACGTCGAAACGCATAAAGCCATCGCACGGTGGAAAAATTAAGTAACGAACCAACGAGTAAACGAATTCTGAATTGCGTACAATGCATTCTAAAAATATACAATGAAGTTATATAACGTTAGGAAATGACTGCAACAAAAAAAGTTATTTCCGTTGTTGATACATTTTTTGCAAATTAGTTTTTATTTATACTTCACTACATCATGAATTTTAAACGATGTTTACCTCCTCAAAATGTAAACATTGCAGCACTGTAAAATGTATAACTTCCTATGTCTTCACTAATAAATATGTTTTATTTGTTTAATAAGTATGTAATGTGTTAATTTAATACAAACCACTCAGTAAATGTTTGTGCTACAAGACTGCCGTGTGTTCGTTCTATCGAACGTTTCTTCCACACTATGTATAAGTTTTTGTATTCCAACCCCCCAGGCTTGAGTTTTTCTAAGGTTCATATTTCACTCATTAATTAGTGTCTGTATATTCAAGCGTAAGTTAAACCTATTAGTTCAGACCATATTTCATAATTTTAGACGCATTAATAACCTGACGTGTATCACCTTGTGAGCTGAAATATAATTACCATCTTTTTTCTTGTTTTAGAGTAATAGGAGCCAGCCTGCCATTGGCTTGAAACACACACCAAAATCGAGGGTAAGTAACATTAGAATTTTTTGTTCTATAGAATGAGCTACAACTTGTCACAAAACAGAATTAATTCTAAGATAATAATGTGGATTTATAACAGTAATTAATTTTTCTACAACATATAGGAAGTGCATGCTGCTGTGGTTATGCTTAACAACGAAAATCAGGCATTCGTCTCTCGTCTGAAACAAAGCATCGTTATTACTTTTAAAGAAGTTCTACGTACGGCATTATCACATATGTAACACAACTTAACTTGACACTGAATATCTGTTATATTAATAGTTCTAAAATTTAACTTTCTGTTGGAATGTTTTCTTGTACTGGGTCGAAAAAATAGTATGCGTATTGTGTATCACAAACAGAAAGTGCCTTCTTCCGCTTCACAACTTGTGCCAACTTTCTCTGTCGAACGATAATATAGCACTTTGCGTTCTTATTATAGAAATAATTGTTAATAATACTGTCATAGTTGTTTCGACTAAAATCTAAAAAACCTTGAATTTAGAAAATTTCTGTAATATAGGTTGTAAGCAAGTGTAACGAATTAACGCAAATTATTTCTCATATGATTTTTTTTTTCTGGGCTTGAGAACATTTTTAGCATCTCATCTAAATACTCTCTCCCCACATTGGTTTTATTTTAACATCTTTCTTATAAAAACCTGATCTATTTCTATCATTAAAATTTTCTATACGTTTTACGGTTCCTTCTTTTTTTGTGTTGCATAATTTCTTATAACGGGTGTTCAACTAAAAAATCACTTAGAGTAGGCGTGGAATTTCATTTGACACAAACGGCATGTCTATTCTTATAACATATAGCAGGTTATATTTCTGCCAAATCGATGTTATAAGAGCAGACATGCTGTTTGTGTCAAATGAATTTCCAACGCCTACTCTGGGCGATTTTTGAAATGAACACCATATTTTTTTATCTCTATTTCCCTCTTGAATGCTTCATCGTATTATCCTTCATTGTTAAGTTTTCTTGAATTGAAATTGTATACGTCGTAGCTTCTTTAATAGTGGTTTCTGTTTTCTACCATTCTTTTTCTATATTCAAATGTGGTTCGCTTGATCTTTCTATTCAATTTCGCATTTATAGATTCTCTATATTTCGGTTTCTGGTAAAATACTGATATGTTGTAGAGTTTTCTTCTATGGAGACTTTTTTCAATGACAGGTCTACTTTTACTAAAAAAGTACTAAGCTATAAATCTAAAATTTTCAGGATTTATTACAAACAATAACTTACAAATGAATATTGTGTCTGCGCAAATCGATTTCATTTTTTGTACAACACTACATTTTTTCTTCATCTATGATATTAATTTTTTCTTTTTTCATATCAGTTCGAATTAACTAATTCATTAATCATAATTATGAAGATATTCATCTCTAATTTTAACAGCCTTTTCATAATTTACAACCTCTATTCAATTTACCCCAGACCGCAGCCTACAGTCATTTTACCGCTTTACCACATAAAGTGTCTACACAATGAATGGTCCGATTTCTTTAAGCAAGTGCGACTCTTTCATCCAAATTCAAGACCGATTTATGAGCTGACATCTGCTAATAGGGATTTCTTTCATTCCGAATTTATGAAGACTCATAAATTTAAACGTCTGTAATTGGTAGTCATTTCTTCGTTAATTATGTAAATATTAATTTTTTGAAAAAAAGCAGTGTTTTTTTGTTAAGAAAAATACCGTTGTGTTAAAAAAATCTGGGACACGTTATATGTAATAAAAAAAAATTCTGGTCAAATTGTTATACATGTTGTGTTTTTTGCTATATAATATACTATAAAGGGAGTCAGGACTCAGGAGAAAGAGTCATATTTTTTTCTCTGCCACAAATAGTGAGACATTCGAAACATTAATTTACAAGGTATTTCAAGAAATTTACACGTTTTATTGACGACACTGGTCTATTAAAAGTAAATAATTTTGTTTTCATTTGTCTTTAACTGATTTGAAACAAGTTCAGAAGTATCAGATAAAATATTGTAGATTACAGATGGGTTAATGTAATGCCAACACACTTGTACGATAACGATAATTTAATTACAAATCGACTAAGGCGCCGTTCTGTGGAAGTTCACACTTTATTGTTCCACTTTGTTTATTTATTTTGTTGATTACTTCAGAAACGGCATATCTAATTTCTACAAAGTCTAAATTTCAATAATGATTAATACAAATAAATAACGACATAATTTCGAAATGTTAATTAGAACACGGTATTTCAACTGCCTAACATTAAATTCCATTTTATCTATAGTATAATATTTTATCTTCATTGTTGTCAACAACAAAAATATTTAAAGGAATTATAGCAACCGTTGATCGTCACGTGCAAGTCAAAAAAGCACGAAAATGCGCCAAAAAAACAGATTCAATTCTATTTTTTATTTAAATCTGTCGAAAACACACTAAATTTAACTGACTTTAGTTGCCCAACTTTATCACGCAGAAGATAAGTGCCGCTCCCTAGTGCGGAAAGACACATGATCACTTGTCATCCACTTAATACTATATGATCTGAAAAAAGTCGTCCATTATATTGGCCTGGCAGTTTATTTGACCGTTCATTGTCAAAAGGAACAAGGAACACCAACATAATTTTTTTAACATTAAATTTCAAGGGTATCTAGACGACTTTTTTTCTTGATCATATTGTATAATAATAAATTAATTCTTAATTGTTAAAGTCGTCTTTAATATCATCTTAATTTGGTCAATGTATAAGCACGAAATTTCAGTGTGTTTATTGAAATTTTCCAATTTAAAAACTCTGCTCCTATTAATGTTCATGTCATTAGGTTATGCAGTGCATTTTGACTTTATTTGTAGCTTTAAACATAACTGAAGACTGAATTTTGGTTTTAATTTCCCGTATTCCTGTTCCTGTTATCAGTAAAGTCTTCGACGTTGATATGATCCGTTTCTAGTTAATCAACTCGACGGCAGGCATCAAAGATACCAGAAATGATGACAACCTACAAAAGACTTGAGTTGCAAATATCCGCTCCGGGTGATGTTAGATTGGTCGTGTAAACGAGCCTTGTAACCCATTCAGTAATTTGAAGTAAATAGTGTTGGCAGCACTAATTGTCACCTGTGCCTACCATATGCCCACACTATGTCTGACTAATTGATAGAATCTCGAAACAGTTAAGTCTGCAACATGAAAAATCGTCATAATTAAAATTATGATTGTGGAAAATGACGGTTTTGTGTTAATATACGGAATTAACGCAAAGTTGCTCCTTTACTTACAGACGTCAGCGGCGCCCATCAGACTGGTGATTGATACTATTTATATATCTATAAATAATCAGTAATTAGAAATAATTACTAACCTATAAATATTCTGAGTGATAGCGATGACACTACACTTTAACACTAATAACATAAAAATTACCGAAAACCAGATTTACCGATAATTAACAATGATAAATAATACATAATTATCGACGAATATGTCCTCGTTTCATAAAGTACCTAAAGGTGGATTCTTACCATTTTAATCCTTATTAACAGGATATCAAAATGTTAGTGTTGGAAAAAAGTTTAAAAATAGTACCTGATTATTAAGAATTTAGGCAACCAGTTATACAATGCGTTTGATATTTCCCGTGAGTCTTTGGTCATTTAGTAAAATTCGCATAAAGTGATAGACGGTACGCTTCCATGACCTACTAAATGACCTAGTTCGTGTACCAAAAGCTTAAGCAAGACTTACAATTGACATACATGCGTGCTTACTTGAATACTTGTGCTTGGATCACCTCAGGTTACGGACAAAATGCTGAAAAATGGCGTCTTTTAATCAGTTCTTCGAAATTGAGCTTACAAACTGTCTACGCATTGGAAATATTTACTCTTCAGTACGTTCTAAACATGCCATTCGCATGAAGGAGAATTAATTACAGAAAGCATACACGGTGCATCAGCGCTGATTCAACAATTGTGACGTTGATGCTTGGTTTACAACTTAGCTACACGATGCATTGTTTCATTTGTGAATACGACAGCCGAACAAGATATTGTCAGTATATTGTTAAACAATGGCCACCAAGAAAGCTACATATTTGTGAATTCTTGGAACGAACATAATCTACCGAACGCTTTACTAGTGGAACACCACAAAATTTTCGTATCACCGTGTATGATGAAAAACTTCATTGATGTTATAAAGAAGGATGTGGCTGCAAAAATTAAAGAGGGCAGGATCCAAGTTATTCTTATAACGTAATGTGTGCAATGCTGTTAAATCGCTAACACCAAAACCTTTAGGGAAGAGAAAACTATAAAAGAAATTGTCGATGAACGTGGACGTGAACGGCATTAGGGTGTAATATGAGGCATAAAATCCTATGGATTTGAAGAATGGGTTTCATCAAGACGTTGCTCCTAAAAAAGGAAGCGGAATAGCGAAAAGCTTAATGATTACTATTGGGGATTGATATTAGAGAATCTACAGCTCGATGCAAATGGAAAGTGGGGAAAAACATTCTGACTATAATGTGATAGTATACAGTATAATTAAACGCCAAACCCTTACTCCAGAACTCGACGTACTAGAAGTAATCGCTTTTTAACATCATATCATATAGAACTCTACAACAAAAAAAAAGTATGTTCATTAGTGAAAAAACCAGGTAAAAACGTATCTGTATTGTCCCGTAATAACCTCACACTCGTGTAAAAAACATCCCTTTCCCGAACTTCGTATGAAAATACGACTATTTATTTTTATAGATTATCCGTCGTGTGTATTCAGAACGTTGTTTATTTTTGTATCCACTAAAATTTTATAACATGATTATGAAGGGCTGAATGATTTTAAATTCACCTGTACCAAGGACATTACGAGTATATTAATACAACGTCCTTAACCTGTACTGACTACTCAGTTGACTAGTTGTCGCTGAAAATATAGACGTTGTAATTACGAGAATTACAGAGAATTAAAGCTTATAGAAAAGACATGCT